AAAGCTTCGAGTATGTTAAAATACTCAAATTTGAAATTGAAATTCCTGCTCTTAAGGAAGAAAACATTCGGATCAAACAGGGTCTACGCCTTCCCATTGTCTCCAAAAACCTTAGGATATCAGTATTGTACAGAAGGATGCCTTTCCAAAATGTACTCTCATGGTATAGTATATACCTTTTGGCATTTCTCACCTTTTCAAAAACTGCAACTGGACCTTATAAAAATTTCCATTTTAAGTTTTGAGAACGAACGGACATGTTTTTTCTCCCTTCTCCAATCACCAGGCCTGCCTTCGACACGTTGGGGCAGACTTATCTTCCCTTAAAATGTGAAAATGTGGCTTCTTGGTCAATTTCCAAACCTGGATTCCAGTCCTTCATTTTTCATGCTCTTTCCAAGAAAACCAAGACATTGTGTTTGGGAAATTTTAATTTTCCCTGGCAATAAGTTGAGCACAAGTCTCTCTACTGTATTGACTTATGAAAATATGTTTTATAATTCGAATTATACTAAACTGTAAATAAAGATCATTTCAGAAAGACCCTTAATATTAAAGACTTATTTTTCATTTAATGGTTAATATTATGTAATTTAATATAATTTAAATTGTACTATACTTTTTCATTGGCTAATATAAGCTATGAACATAATAGTATAATAATAGTTTTTTTTTTATTTTCTTTTAGGGTAAATAAAATATCAAATTTTAAATTTGTAAACTTTTGGTATGTTTTGTTTGAGAAGTAAGTATAAAATTTTTTAATTAATCAAATTACAAAATACATCGACCTTAGATTAATTAAAACATTCATCCATCTCATCCATTTTTCTCAAACTTAACATACATATATCATCGATGGCAGAAAGAGAGAAAAAAAAAAAGGAAGAAGAAGAAGTAAAAAACACATATATCCACTAACATGGAATCTAGAAGCTGTACACAAGCAAACTTTATTGGTCTAATAGCTATTGGTTCTTATATAGTGTTCACAACATGTTTTTTATTAATTACAAACGATTCAACGGTGTCAGTCCAGATATAAACTAAGCAATAATAAATCATTAATTAATTATAATTTGGTTTCATTAAAAAATTAATTAATATATATTCAACAGAGAGCACAACCAATCCACGCATGCTTCTACATTCTACTTTTTAATCTTATGCCCAGCATGATCCATGACCTTTATTTTTGTTTGGGCAGCTTCACAATTCTACATGGTAAATATCTTCAATTGTTTCAACACCTGAAAATCTTGAGCATGTTTTTTTGGAAAAACACTCCGACGCTTAAGTTAATAATACTCAATATTTTAAAAAGAAAAACTCTCAAAAAACAATTGTAGAGAGAGAAGTGTAATGGAGTTAATATCTTGAGTTAAAGTAGTGGGGGTATTTATAACTTCATGTGCTAACATGAGTTCATATATGTAAGCATTCAATTGATTCACGTGTTACTACTCACGTGGGTATGTCTGTACTAATGTATGGATATTTCTTCATTTTGAGCTTATAAATGTACACTGGACCTATTGTACATGACCAGATTAAATGTTGGGTCCATTCTCAACAATTTTCATCCTCAATTACTTAACTTTTTCATCTACGTCGCTTTAATATTGATATCAAACAATAATCTTTATTTGTCTTAATATTTAAATTAAAATTTTTTATTTGGAATCTCAAATACTTATCAAGTAAAACACCTATCATCTTAATGAATTTCACAGCGCTCTCTTTCTTTGTTGCAATTCAATTGATAACGATCTTTCTTTGTTACTATTGAATTGATAGCGATCGGACAAAATACAGTTGCCATGCCTCTTTAAATGTTGACCTTGGCAGAACAAGCTACATGAGGACAAGGGTAAAAGACAATTTGCATATGGTAGCAAGACATATCTACCCTCACCTCATCAAAACTACCTACCTCGAACAATTTTCCCTCAAACTACTGTTTTTGTGGTTCTTGTAGATAATATGTGGTAAAGAAAAGTCATTCTTCATGCAAAAGGTAAGCTAATGTAACCCACTAAAAATGAATATTGAAAGGGAAAAAGGGCAGAAAAAAGACAATGATTGAAAGGGAGAGATTGTTAATCACAACTAATACAATTAAGCCGCCTCATATCATACGTAACAAATTCTTTGGTCCCATGTGGGCATTTATGTCAAGGATTAGTTATATATCTTACCAAAACCTAAGAAAATAATTAAAATGTCAAAAAACAAAAAGCTTTGAAAAAATAAACAAAAAACAAAGGCCCCCTCTCATTTGTTTATACAATTTGTTATGCTAATTTAGATGGAGAGTTTCAAATGAATGAGAAAACCCATGTGCATGTCCTAACAACAACAACAACAACCATTTGAAATTGGGATTTGTCGACGTTTGGATTTTGGACTTTTCAATGTCTTTGAATTTGCATTTTGCTCGGATCTTGTTCTATTTTCTTCTTAATTTTTTATTTTTGTTGCTGTCTGTGTCAAGGTAGGGACCTATGAATTTAAGTTTAGGGTTTATTGGTTGCATATCCTAAGTCCCTCAAACAAATGCCTCTTAGGCATTATCGCCACACACCCAAAAAATAATAATAAATAAATAAAAACAGGGAAAAGAGGTTGAGTTTGGAAGGCTACAATGTAATGTGAGACTTTGCAATTAAATTCAAGGAAAATCAATCAAATTATGAGGTTGATGCTTTTCAATTTGGATTACAATTAATCTAAGTAATAAAAAGATGAAAATACTATTAATAATTTTTTTTATATTCATAATTTATTAAGGATATGTTTTGTATGATAAAGAGGAGTGGTGGGAGTCAGCGGTGGAAAAGACTTTTTTACTTAATCATATTGTTCGTAATATTTAAAATATTATAATTTAATGAATTAAAATTTTTAATTTTATTTTTTTATCCTTTATTTTCCTTAAATTAAACCTAATATTACTATATTTTTACAACATAACTGATAACTTTTTTACAATTTCAGATTGTAAAAAGTGTTTAGGTCAAATTATAATGTACGCTGGTCAACTCAATTCAATTCCATAATGTTTGAATTTAAACAATGAGTGGGAATTAACTGAGCACACAAATTTTACATTTTTTTTTTGTCTCAAAATAATTCTCTTTTTTTTACTTTTTCTTTTTTAAATTAAAGATTTAGGACAATTCATTTATTTATTTATATTACTTTAAAAAAAGTTAAAAATAAAATAAAATTTGTTGTGATAGAATAATTAATCAAAATAAATAGATAATGATAAGGTTAAAGTAGAAAAAAAATATTTGTTAGTCCTAAAAAATAAAAAAAAAAACAATAATTAATTTGAGATAAACTCAAAGACAAATAATAACAATTATTTTGAGATGAAGAGAGTACATTACATTTACACAAAATCTTAACTATTTATTTTTTTATTTTTAATAGTTGAGATTTATTATGATTTTTTTACCAAAAAAATATAATTATTTTTAATAAATATGATAAAAAGTAAATAAATCCTAATAATTTAAAATTAAAAGATAAATAATTAAAATTTTATGTAAATATAATATGTTAAATTTATATACAAATGAATCCATACTCTTACACAATTATTTAAAAATCAAAGAGCTGATTGGGT